GGAGTGGTGGGCGTGCGGCGGGTGGGGTGATGGTTTCCTGCGTACAGACTTTCTGTTTCTCTCTGCGGTTTCTCTGACCGCGTTGGACTCAGGCTCCTCTGAATCCTCTGCCCAAACAGGTTTCGACCTGCATCGCCAGGCTGCAGCGAGAACCCTGCGAAGTCGCTTTAGCGGAATCCCCTAGCCTCTACGTCAGATCACCCTCCATTTCTGACCACATGCCTCATCCCCCACGACCCCCCCGCTGCTAGCCCTTCGCCCTGGCTGCCCTTAGCAAGAATGCTGTTGGTCAGCTGAGCAAAGAATTACCTACCCTCCTAGTGATTTTCCATTCACCGCCCCCACCTCCGCCCCGGCCTGCTCCTTGGCTATAAATCCCCACTCGTCCGTGCTGTGTTTGCAAGTGACCCTGCTTCTGTACCGAGGTCTCTCCCTCTGTTGCAAAGTCCTGAATAAAATCTCTTTCTACTGCTACTGTGTAGTTCTGGTTTCCTTTGACACGTCAGTTTGGGATGACGAGAAAGTTCTGGAGATTGGTAGTGGTGATGGTTGTATGGCAATGTGAATGTACTTAATGCCAATGAACCCACACACTTAAAAATAGTTAAGATGGTCCATTTATGTTATGCACGGATTACAATAAGAAATAAAGCCAGGTGGTATTTTTAGAAGACTAAACAAAAATTTAAATATATAAAGGAAGCATCAGTCCAGAGATCCTGCAGCAGTCCCTCCTGAAATCCATTTCTTCGTCTCAAAGTTCTCGGCCCCTGTCTTTTAGGGTTGCCAGATAAAAACACAGAACACCAAGTTAATTTGAATTTGAGATAAAAAATGAATATAGATACAGATATAGAAATAGATATCCCAAACTAGGCAGGAGACACACTTGCACTTAAAAATTATCGTTTACTTGAAATTCAAAATTAAGTAGATGTTTGATATTTTTGTTTGCTAAATCTTGCAAACTTACTCTCTTCTTAAAACTCTCTGAATTTTGTCCTCTTTCCCTGCTGCCCACCCCCATCCTAGAGTTAGGTTAAATTGTCTTTTTTGACAAGCACATTCCAATGTCTTGCTGGCTTGCAGCATACGGTCCCTACTGACGATGAGGAAGAGATGGGTTTCCACCTGTATTGTAGACTGAATGTTTTTGTCCCCACTCCCTCAAATTAATATGTGGAAGCACTGGGTGCCTGGGTGGCTCAGTTGGTTAAGCGACTGCCTTCGGCTCAGGTCATGATCCTGGAGTCCCGGGATCGAGTCCCACGTCAGGCTCCCTGCTCAGCAGGGAGTCTGCTTCTCTCTCTGACCCTCCCCCCTCTCATGCTCTCTCTCTATCTCAGTCTCTCTCTCAAATAAATAAATAAAATCTTAAAAAAAAAAAAATGTGGAAGCACTAACCTCCAGTTTGATGGTATTTGGAGATGAGATCTTTCAGAGGTAATTAAGGTTCAGGGAGCCTAGGAGGGTGGGGTCCTCATGGTGAGATTAGAGCCCTTACAAGAAAAGACACCTGAGAGCTGGCTCTCTCGAGCTCTCTCTAGCTCTCTCCACCATGTAAGGACACAGCAAGAAGATGGCCATATGCAAGCCAGGAAGAGAGTTCTCACCAGGAACCAAATCTGGCACCTTGATTTTGGATTTCCAACCTCCAGAACAGTGAGAAATAAATGTATGCTGTTTAAGCCACTCAGCCTATGGTATTTTGTTTTTGACAAATATATCCTGCAAACACATTTTCTCCTCACTCCACCTGAGCGATGACTGAGCAGGTTCTTAAAGGTATTTTAAGGTTTTCAAAACACATCAAAGAAGGGGAAGCGTGCCATTCCGAAAGGAAAGCATGCAGGCTTGGGGCTCTGTCACTTGTTCTTTGTGCGCCTCTGGGCAAGTCACCTAATGGGGGTTGCCCCATTTATAAATCGGGCTGGAGAGTGCTTGCCCTGCCTCCTTTTGGGAGCTGCAGAGAAAGGATGTCAAAGAGCTTTGTGATCTGTAAAGATTATTCGTACACGAAAGGAAATTTGTATGTGCTCCAGGATGTTTGTTTACACACACACATGCACGCACACACACACACACGCACGCACGCACCCCACCCCTGCCACATACCAAAACTAGCTGTGTTTTCTCACAGAAGTGCTGCTAGACAGCAGCCCAGTTCACCCAGACCACCCAGTTCACCTTCAGTTTACCCTCCACTTCATAGAAGTTCTTTACCTAATCTACTGAGGCTCATCCCACACCTATTTTTAAAGATTTCCTAGGAGCTGGATGGCAAAGACATTTAACCTCAGCCACTCGAGCTGCAGTGGGAATAGACCTCGGTCAGAGCGAAGAAAAGCTAAATGTCATCCTACTGTGTGAACGCTGAGGCCCTACCTGCCCTTGCTGGCCTGTTGTGCGACTCCATTTTATGAGATACCCAGGATAGGGAAACCACGGGGACAGCATGCAGATTGGTGGTTGGCAGGAGCTGGGGGGAGGGGAGGATGGGAAGTGGCTGCTCAGGGGTGCAAGGTTTTATTTTGGGGTGATGGGAAGGTCTGGGAGTTACATAGAAGGGGTGATTGCATACCATTGTGGAGGTATAAATGCCACTGAATTCTTTGCTTTAAAATGGCCCATTTTATATAACTTTCGCCTCACGTAAAAAGAAACGAATTGCTGTGTAAGCTGTAGTCATTCTCCTAATGCATTCCTGTACTTGCCGGACGGAGGGCCTAGCCTGCGTCTTATGCTTTGGTAGCCTCCTCGGTGTGGAGAGTGTACTGGATGTGGGATGGAATCCGAGAATTCGAGAGCTTGAAATTACCTCAGAGGTCATAGAGCCGATGCTCGGCTGATGGAGGAGAGAGGGGGCAAGAAGGCCTTAGGCTGCAGGCCTTTTCTGTGTGTCAGAACGAGGCTGAGGAAGACACAACAGCGTCCCTTGTCCCCATCCCCTCAGCACACAGTGCTTGCCCCATGCCTTCAAACAACAAGTCAGGGAAACCGACTCTCAAGCAGATGATTCCAGAGTGTGACCGTGTTTCCATCCAACAGTGAGGGGAGCGTAGGGTGCTCAGGAGCTCGGAGCTTTCAGTTAAGATTGCTTTCAGTTGGGCCAAATAGACACCTCACTCCAGGATTTAAGCGTTAGGAGTTTCTATTTCCACATTATAGGAGAACCAGATGGAGGCAGCACAGGGCTGGTACGATGGCTTCATGGTTCCTTGAGGAACCTGGAATCTTCTTTCTACTCTGCCTTGGTGCATGGCTGTCTTCTTTATGGTTGTAAAATGTATGCTCCATTCCCGGGCATTGCATCTGAGTTCTAGGTGGGAAGGCAGGAAGCGTAAAGGAAAAAGGTAAAGGGCAGATATGAGTCCAATCTATTCCTTTTTAAAAAAGGTCCCCTAAAGGGGCACTTGGGTGGCTCAGTTGGTTAAGTGTCTGACTCTTGATCTTGGCTCTGATCTCAGTCTCAGGGTTGTGAGTTCAAGCCCTGCATTGGGCTCCATGCTGGGTGTGGAGCCTACATTAAAAAAAAAAAAAAAAAAAAAGCTTCCCTAAGAATCTCTATCCAGCAACTTCCTCTTACATTTTATTGGCCAGGACTGGATCACATGACTTGCAGGCTCCGAGGGAGTCTTGACAAATGGGTATTTTTAACTGGGTATGTTACTGCCCTGAATAAAATTGAGATTCTACTAGGAAGTAAGGGAGAATGAACAAAGGGTAGTCAACTGGGCAGTGTCTGCTAGAGATATCTCACCCCGAGTCTAGGAGTTGGGGGATTGCTCAGGGAAGGCTTTCCGTAGCATGTGATGCCAGAGATGAAGTTTAAAGGCTAAGCAGGAGTTCCCGCAGTGAAGCAGGGTGCAGTCACAGGCATTCCAGGGACATGAGACAGCAGGAGGTACTAAGTTAGGTAAGCCTAGCTGCCGCATCAAACCAAAAGTATATAATGGCTTAAGCATGATGGAAGTTGACATCTCACTAATTAGTGGAACATCCAAATCAGTTGGATGATTCTCCTTCATGTTTTAACTTAGGGACATTGGTGCTTTCTACCTGTGGCTCTGCCATCTTCAACATGGGGCTTTCAAGTTTTCCGCTCTCCTTGGAAGAGGAAAGAGCATGAAGAGCATGTGGGAGGTTTGAAGGAACGGGCCTGGAAATGGCATACATCGCTCTTGTTCATATTTCATTGGCTAGAGCTTGTTCAAGTGGCCACATCTAACTGCGGGGGAGGCTGGGAAATATTGTTTATCTATACTCCCAGGAGGAAGAGCTAGCTGGTTTGTGCAACAATGATCAGGAGGTGAGAAAATATACACTTGGGAGTGGAATGGGAAATAGGAGACAAGACCATAAGCGGTTCGACGTTGCCAAAGTTCAAGACAGAAAGGGGTCGGGATGAGACTGAGAAGTAGGTGGGAACCACACCACAATACTAGGTACCATTTTTGGAGCTCCTTCTCTGTGCTGGGCAATGTGCTTGGTACTTTACATATATAATCACAATTATGTTGGGTATCTGAGTTGTGGAGAAGAGGTGGGGGTATCGCCTTTGTGTATATGTCCTGCATAACAATCCTATTTCCTTCTTTTTTTTTTAAGATTTTGTTTATTCATCTGACAGAGAGAGACAGCGAGAGAGGGAACACAAGCAGGGGAAGTGGGAGAGGGAGAAGCAGGCTTCCCGTGGAGCAGGGAGCCTGATGCGGGGCTCGAACCCAGGACCCTGGGATCATGACCTGAGTGGAAGGCAGACGCTTAACGACTAAGCCGCCCCCTTATTTCCTTTTTTAGAAAAAGATTTTATTTATTTATTTGAGAGAGATCGAGCAGGGGGAGAGGCAGAGGGAAAGGGAGAAGCAGACTCTCCTGCTGAGTAGGGAGCCCAACGCTATCCCAGGACCCCAGGATCATGACCTGAGCCGAAGGCAGATGCCCAACTGACTGAGCCGCCCAGGTGCCCCTCGCATAACAATCTTATTTCCCAGCAAGTGTATAGAGCTTTATTGTATGCAAAATAAAGGTACATGTACAATACTGAATATTTACAAGAATCTGGTGAGGAAAGTATTCCCATCATCTCCATGTAGGAGTTGGAGAAAAATGAGCCTTTGAGAGGTTTAAGAACTTGTCCAAGGTCTGGCAGTTCCACCTCTTAATAAGCACTCCCATCCACTATATTATATTACCTCTCAAAGAGGGTCTCATGGGTCCTAGTAAGGAGTCTGGACTTGAGCCAGCATCTGTTGAAACCTTGGGATCATAGCCAGTACGTTTGGAAGAAGCCATCTCTTTCTGATGCCAACACTGGGCTCCCTCAGATTTGCTCGGAGTTACCTGGAATCAGTGGCAGCAGGACAGGAAGACCTTCATGAAACCATGCATGCATTCTTCTTGGGGCAGCACCTGGCTCTCCTGGGTGAGGGAGGGCTCCATTTTCAGAGGGAGGGGACAGGGAACTTCAGTGC